ATGATTAATTTATTATCATTACTAAGAGTTTTTATATAATTAATTCAGAAGGCCAATAATACTTTAATGAAAAGAACAGAAGTTTTGCTTAGTTTATTCTCTCGTCAAGTTCTGAACTTCAACCGTTTATATAATCATAAATCCTACAATAGCGTATAAAACAATCATCCGATGATGTTTTTAGTTAAACTTCCTTAATAACCTTGACTTATTGAATAGCATTTGTACTTCAAATAATACAAAGGACATCTTTAAATATAGATTAAATTTATTCGTTTTGATAGTTTATTACTTTAATCGTTTAAAATGTAATTATTTAAGTACCTAAACTGTACTCAGCATATTTAAACAATAAATTATAAACAAATATTTGAAAATACATATCAAATCTCTTCATCTTAATTACTTTTTCCGGATTACAGTCATTTGCTTGAATGCCATGTAATGGACGCTCCAACAATAACATTTTGAATTCCCTACATCAAATTCACCTGAGTCCATCTCAACTACTAAATTGTTTTATGAGGGAAGTTTTACTAATATTTCAATGGAAGCAACCCAATAATTGCACGCTGCCTGTTCAGTGCTCAGTCCCCGAGGTACAGACAACCAATCATCAACTGTCTAAACTGTAAACTGTGTCTACAGTCTACTGTCCAAACATCGGACATTGGACAGTGAGACTAATCAATGTTTGACCGGATCCATTGTTTAAGGCTATCCCCATTCCCGCCTGTCCCCGTTGAAGAACGACTTTATAATGTAGCTCTGAGTTGTTTATAATGTCTGTACCTTTGGAACGATGAAATATGTGCTGCTAGACTTTTTCAAAATTAAAATTCGATTTCTGAAAAACAGAAAACTAAAATAATAATTATTGCTTAGCATTCCCTACCTCATGAATTATCAACAGAACCACATTCCTTCGATTGTTGTATTTTACCGACTTCGGGCAGGGGTAAAGATCCTAATATTTCCAAGGGTCTGGCCCTTAACAAACTAACTCGTCCCGCTACATGAACGTGCTGTACTCACGACGCGTATCAATACGAGGCCCTGCTCAAGGTCACAAGGAGTTTCGACGAACCACGCGTATAGATCGGATACCGGAGGAGAGATATTGAAAACGTTGGCCGCAAACCTAATCGCGTGAATATGCAAAATAAAATAACATACTTCTTCGGGGTGAACTGTAACAATAGTGGTGCGTTTGGATATGATGGTGTAGAAAATATTCTACAGAAACATTTCTCAACTCCAACTAATACTTTGACTTCCCTAACTGTGATGGTCAGAACTTACAACACCTAGTTTATAACTGCTCGCTTTGCTTGGTTGAATAACATCTGTTAATCAGTAGGTGGCGAGTCGGTGAATCATGACACAATTGACCAGTCACCGGTCTGATTCAATGATTGAACCATCCAGGCTGGGATGGGTACGAGTGGAAGGGAGGGAGGGGTATGGCTCGGTCTGTAGGATATCCGGAGATACGTGACCAAGTTACAGATCACACCATTACTCCAAGTCACCGCTGTAGCTTACAGTCAGCAAATTACCGATATGACAACTCTCGAGACTCTGTATTAACATTCGAAATCATTGTCGTTGGTATAACATAATTTCTCAGGTAATTCCACTTACAAATTCCGAGAGTAACACGAAGATTGTAATAGGTTATGCGGGTGGCACCTTCGTCAACTAATTTGCCTACAATAGTTGATACTTAAATTATGTGCTAAGTAAACATACAGGGTTGGTACTAAATTTGGTAAATAAAATTCCCTGACTTTTCCAGGTTTTCCAGGCTGATATTATACTTTTTCCAGCTATACTGTAAGTCGATATCAACTAATAAAAATAAAGAAATATTAAAAAAATATAAATATTTAACTTGTTTAATCACTCCCAAATACAAAACTTGTTTCAAACTATTTAAATATCGATTTCTCCCCCGTACTGATAACTAAATATCAATATAAAAATGTGCATCGGTGCTTATGTCGTTCTTTTTGCCATTAGTCATCACTCTGACAAAAACCTGTTCAGAGCAAAACGTAGCATATCTGTAAAAAGGTAGTCTTTCAGGAGAAATTCCAGAATTTTTCATAATTCCCTGACATTTCCCTGACTTTTCCAGACCAACAAAATTCCCTGACTTTTCCATGTTTTCCAGGTTTTCCCTGACCGTACCAACCCTGACATATCACATTTTAAAAAGCTATATTGTCAAATAGAAGTAAATGGCTCATATTTGATTAGATATAGGCGTATTTAAAATTCAAACAAACGAAAGATGACAGTTAGATGGACGGAAAGTAAATAAAAGAGACGTCTTTTAACACTTAAAAGCTTAGATGGAGTTAAATGAAGACAAGATTGGATCACAGCATAGCCTCCTCTAGTACAAGTCCGCGACAAGGCAAAAGTGGCAACACCGCAATTCCGGCCTACAGAGACAGCTGCAGCGTCTGCGCAATGCTAACTCGTTTAGCATTAGTCCTATGGCGAATGCGGCGTTGCCACATCGTTCGGCACGTTAGTAAAGTAGGGCCTACTCTTATGCAATAATGCACGCCCAGAAAAAAGAACAAAAATGCAATTATTATTAAACCATCCAATTTTTACTGTACCATCCGACAAATATGACATGTGTTACAAGATTATTGACAAATTTTGAAATACTTTTGGATAAAACTGTTGCCTTCACACGTTTTGAGCTAGCAAAATCATGCAGTAACATGTGGATTACTATTCAGAGCTAAATTGTTGCTACATCCCGTATTTAGGATTTCAGTGTACGTACGAGTCTTGGGCAAGCTAGAGAGTGCAAAATAGTACGGCGTTTTAATGGTTGCATTAGTAATATTGCATTATTATTATTGAGATCATTATTTTAGGTTTGTGGTGAATATTACAGCTTAAACGATCACTGATGGAATATAATTGGGTTTTTACTGACTATTACAGCGTAATTGAAAACTAAGATTTTGAAATGAAATAATTTAGTAATTTTTGCAGGAAAACTCGTATGCATACAAACAAATTGTTACATTAATATTTAAAGAGAACCGTGAAGTTACTCATAAAGATCACAAATAATGTAAAATACGAATTTTTACCAGGAGTAAAAATGTAATAAATCCTTTAACACTAACTTGTATAACATCATATTTTATTGGCAACACTCAATGTCATTGAAAGCGACGGAATTGTTATCACTGAGGTTTATTTACGAACACAATAATTTACAGTCGAATTCTTGGCACGAATATCTTTGATTCTGTCAAGTCGTTTAACGACGTTTTGAAGACGTGAAATTAAGTAATATCTATTGACAGAAGACGTCGATATTGAGATGAAAATACAGCTGAAGAAAGACTCGACAGCGGGCCCGATTGAGAAATTGATTTTAATACAGTAATAAGATAGCGCTTTTTCAGTGAATAATTTTTTACTAGGTTCAAAATAAATAAAACCCAGAATAAGTTATCATATTAACTTGTATTTTGCAAAAAGGGGGAGGGATGTGGAAATTCAATATAATAAGATGGTTACTCAGATGTCGTGAGTTTGTCTAAGCCTTAACACCATGTTTGCTGTTTACTTAAAACATGTTATATGCACTCACATTCATTGCCATAAATTTAAATGTAGTCTAAATATCTTTTTATGATGCATTTTTATTCAAAGCAGAGTCGATGTAATGTAGGTTAGCATAGCACATCTGACTTCGCAAAATCCGCAATTTTTTTTTTCAAACATAGGCCAACATACAAATTAAATTTCTAAAAACGTAACTTCGGACCCATCAAACACCTCACTGAAGCCCAAAAAAAATTGATTATATCTTACAATAACTCAAATTCTACTTTTAACATGGAATTCATAATTTCTTCACGTACATACACTCATACGCCCAAAAAATCTCGAAATCTTCCAAAACGTCCAACATAGAAAGTGATAGGCGTCGCTGAGCCAATAAAGGAGCCGAAACGTCGAAACGTTGAGGGAGTTGAGAGACGCATTTGCAATCTAAATTAGCTGCTTCGTCCAACTTGCAGACTACACAGTACATTACTTAATCACATTCTGTTTAAACTTCGCGCGTACTAGTCTAAAATCCATCACTTCAGACGACGCTATCGACAGTTAAATAGAAATTAAGGTTAATCGACTTTAGAAAATAAAATGTTATAACGGTAAAAAAGGCTCCATCAATTTGACTTGGCAATTGAATAAATGTGAGCGAATGTCTAAAATAGCGCCGATTTGCATTCCGAAGCAGTTATAGCATTGATTTCAGTTATAATTTTGTACGTTGCGCCTAAAGAAATACAGTTTAATTTATGTTACTAACGAAAAAAATATAAAATCATATTGGCGTAAATTATTGACACATACTGCAACACGCTTAAAAAACCCTCACATCAGAACAAGCATAAATACCAGATTGAATTATTAATATCTTCTTAGTACAGTCAAACCGAGCTTGGAGTTTTTACCATGTGACATAATATGATTCTCCAATTATAAAGTTGGCAGAAAGAGTTTGCGCCACGCCATTATAACTTGGAATTTCAAACACGGAGTTTGGAGACCATTAGGTAAGAGTGTGTCCCGCTTGATGTGTTTCTAAAATGTCGCAAAGACTGAAATGTAGGCCAACATGATTTACAAGTAAAAAAAATATTAAAAACATAAAACACTATGCACAACGGATAAGTTGAAACTCAACCGTTGCCAACGAAAATATCAAATTTTATCTTTATCTTCTGTCAAATCCTTCTAAATCTGTAATTGGGATCATAATTTCCTTAGAAGTTTAAGCATATAGCTAATAAGTTTTGGTAAGCCTGATAAATGAAATTCAAAACATTACTCGTACATAATATTAAAATATTACTACTGTACTTCAATATGATGGCGACCAACAACTTTATGTGTAAGTAACGTAATGTATATGCCGGAAAGGTCAGGTGTGAGTGTAAAGTGCTTACCTTTTTCGCCTCAACTCTTCATTGAAATTGTTAGTATACTGCTCCGAGGTGTGGTTCTGTAACAGATATATCAGAATGTTACTGTTTGTACAAATCTTAGTGGAAATGATAGTGTAGGTCTACAATGTACAACTGACCTGACCAAACGCAATCCAACATAACCTAGAATAGGTTAGTAGTGAGGTTATGAAAGTAGTGTAGTCGTATGTTTTCGACGTATGGTTTCTGACCTAACCTAACCTAACTGAACTTTGTAGTGACATGTTAATTTGTACGTGTCGCATAAGAAAACACAACTACTTGCAAAAACGTTTCCTCCTTAATAGATTTACTCAGAAATTGTGGTCCATGGCTCATTATACTATTACTTCATGTAATTGTACTAATTAACAGCGCAGTGATGCAAATGTCGAATGTTGGTGTATTTCCAGTTATAAAGTGTAATACAAGTAAGCAAGTAAATTCTGTTACAACGATTTGTGTTGATAACGATGATAAAATGTTCCAACGCTCTGACGATATGGTTGCAACGCACAGCACCTTATTTTCTTTAGTACTATTCTCTCATACTAGTGCAAAATGAACTTTATTCGCCTACCTGATCATCTAACAAGCTACGCGTAAAATGCTTTTAAAATACCTTGTTATGATTTTGTATATACATTTTTTCCACACACACGTCTATCCAGAAAACACTAGTGGTATGTGAGTTATAAATCAAGCAACGTAATGACACTTATTTTTTCCTACAGTCACCTGACAAAGTTGGCTTCCTTGCACTGATTATAGTACAGAAAGTTGCTAATTGCTGCATTTACTTTTGCCATGCGTTTTTTTTGCCGCACACCAGTAATCCAACCAAACAACGCAAAACAGCGTGATTTTATTATGCACGTAATCCGTGTAAGCTTGGAAATAGGTTGGCAACTTTAAAAGATACTACGACTACGATCAGCTGTTGCAGCGTTTCCCATTTCATTCAACGCTTGGAAAGAACCTAACCTAAAACGTTTTGTTTAGTGTTTGCAAGACTACTTATTTCTATGCTTTATAGTAACTATAGGAAAAATATAATGTGTAACACGAGTGCAAAAACACTAGTTACCGAAATAACTATTAATTTTTAACAGTAAATTTTAAGGTACAAGTATATAAGCTGATAAGTACGTAATTAAAATTCCTGGAGTACGCTATACCAGGATTACAAACACAAGATATACAGTAGAGCATTTTTCTGGCGATAGAAAGAGGATACAAGTTGGCGTTAACAAAGGAAAACCAATTAAGACCGTGTGTTGTGTACTGGCGATCCGATACAATAGCAAAAGAGACCGAGTAAAGAAACGTTTGGATGGAAGAACAACGTTTCCTACCTTTTATCTTCACTACAGGCGGACTTAATACGTAGGATCGTCGAAGATAACATTTAAACAAAATAATACACCTGTTGACAATGTTTCATTTAGAACAATTTCACGACAAAACCAATACATGGGCTGCGTTAAAAACATTTTGGTACTGCAACAAACTGTAAAAATTAACGGAGATTTTTAAAAATCGTTACAATATAGCAATAGAACAAAATCATGGTGACGACATGAATGAGTACATTCCCCTAAAGATGTCTGTCTTCTGACAATTACTGCAAATTCATGCTAAACGAATCTTTGAATAAAAATATTTTACCGTCCTCCTGCTTCATAAAACGTGAGGGTAGACATTCTTGTAAATCTATGTCTACTACATGTGTGTGGGATTTTATATTGTTAAGCATTTCTTTAAAACGGACATCTACTTACGCAAACGCAGCTTTCCGGCTTCCCGTGCAAAAGCTAAATAAAATACAAGATGGTGCGCGGCTAGTCTAGTGAGAAGAATGAGAACTTATGTGCTGAAGATCATGGTTAAAATCCCACCAACCACCAACAAATTACCAAAATGCCAGGTCGCAAAAACCTCATTCTTAATGTCCCCTTACCATAGAATGCAAAGTACATTCGTTAATTTACCATACAGTTTTGTCGACGTTGAAGTGTATTGAAAGTTATTCTAAGAAATATTACATCAATTCAATAAATATCACTGTAGCTGTACGGACGCCGAACCGTCAGTCTGCAGAAATGCACGTTGCAGTGTTCATTGACCGTGTTCACGGACAATTAAAATCCGTTACAACTGGACCGGACTAGTTCACCGAGTGCACTATTCTGCTATTACTAAAGAAAACAAGGAACACCTCCGGTAGTCTTCTTAGTAATGAAACAAAATATATACCGAGTTGATACAGACTTGAAAAACTAATTTATTTCGCGAAATATCTATGAGTAAAGTCTTCTGGTAAGGAAACTTAGTAAAAGTGTGAATTCATGAAGTGTTGTAAGACATTAACTTATTTTCCAATCCTTGAATCTTGGAACGAGTTTTACTAAAGCCTAGCATTTATTAATCAGTATATTTTTATATTAGCCTACTTAGTTGATAAAGTAAAAAATTAAACTTTACAGTGAACATTTATCGATTGCATTCCCTCAATGCTGAAAATTAACATGATTTTTCCCACGTTGTTATAACTAAGTTACGTCACTTCCAGAACTATATATTATTTTTAAAAGTGTTGTAAACATTCAAACATACTAATGCTATGACGGCGTAAATAATGCTAAAAAAAAACTCAAAAGTGATCCACACTAAACAAAACCACACAAGATCTAGCACAATGCACTGCAACAACACGTACAAACATACAGAAACTCTGTATCACTTAAGGCCAAAACTTTTAGAAAATCTCGTTCAAGTTTATACACAGAGAACAATTTGTATAAACAACGTCGAAGAGCAAGAGTTCCTATGAAGCTCAACTCAATTTGTCTCTGCTTGCATAACAGGATAAAACCGTATAACAAGCAGAAACGTACAGAGAGGAATAAACGACAATCGAACTTAGTTACAGTAGATGTTCTCACTACTATGTTTTTTCGTGTTTTATCAGTTCGCAAATTAAATTTAAATTTGATTACGTAGCAAGAGGCTGCTCTAGAAAGGTGAGAATGCGTTTTATTACGTTATTGCGTAATTTCGCGTCCTTTTTCTTGAACTTACACGGAGATGAGGTTTAAATTGGATTTTTCAGATAGCTGAAACAAGAGGCCTTTTGCAGTGTGTTCGAATGGGATTAGAGCGAGGTAAAAATGCCTCGCCAGTCTTATTTTCAAAAAATGAGGCGTTGAGTAGATTTTAAAGTGCATGCAAAACACAAGTTCGCAATTTAAGCAATCAGAGGTTAAATTATATCACAAGTATTGCCACTTTAATCCGTAAAATTGTAATCAATTCAAAACTGATGAAATGCAGCTTAAAATTTACTTAAGAAACAAACTAACCTTCGTTTTAAAATTATCAAATCACTTTTTAATACATTTTTCACGCAAGACGATTTGGTAACTAAAGAATAGCAAACATCTTAAAAATTGTCTGACGACACCATCTTACTTTCAGTTCGACTTGGTTAGTTTGGTTAATATTAAATTTTATTCTACTATTTTCTTGTTGTATTTCCCTACGTTCACAAAATTCAGGTGGTTTGAGGAAAAATTCCCAAATTTTTTTACTTATTATATGGCGCAGCTGATTAATGCTTTGGCAAACCTAAGCTTTTGAGCTCTTATTTTAGAAGTCAGGAACAAGAGGAGAGGAGGGGATCGATTTCTTCCCCTAAAATCGCCCAAATTTTGTGAACGAAGTGTAATACAATGTTGTTTAGTAGATTTTAAGTATTTTTCATCCTCTTGTCCGACGAGTCACGAAGGTAAAAAAAAATAACATATATTCGTAAAATATAAACCGCATGACTCACAAAACGCAGTCAAGATCTTGAGTTGATTCACGTATTTACCCTACGTGAAACAAAATTAAATTTACAAAATCAAAAGTGTGAGAACACCGTTTGAACCACCATAAAGGATATGACTTTTCTGACCGGCGGTGGCAAGTCAGTGCAAGACTAGCGTGCCTGTCCCCTCGGGTTATCGCGTGCTGCTGTCATTGTTTTCATTATGCAAGACCAACCATCCCTCAGTCACGGAACCACTAAACAATATCTTCTTTTTCTTCATCAATATCTGGTATTTTTATTCCGACTGGCCGTCAAAATGTAAAACACTGCATGTATATACCCTGCGAGACTTTCCCCAAACGAATACCCTGAGGACTGTGCTTGTATGAAATCAATGTCGGTTTTGTACACAAATTATTTTTTTGGATCGAAACTGAACATAGGTAGGTATAAGGGTAACTACGCCAGTGTGATCAATGTTGTTTTTCTCTTGTAAACCATGATTAAATTAATAAGTTATTATTCTACTGTCAATTCCAAACAAGTCATATTATGACCATAAAATAATATCTGCAACTTCATGATTAACAGGAAAAGCTTTAAAAACCCCAACGAGTTTATACAACTTCGTCCCAATCACATTACGCTCCGCGTAATCAAACCATAGTCGTTATTTATAACACAACCGTTCCAAGTAATTTATTTCACGGTTGTCAAAAAAGTAGCCTATTCAAAATATATTAAATAGTATAGTAAATAGTATATACGAAGCCATCAAGGATTTTTTTTAATTATCATTCGCAGGTGTGATGTATAATAGGCTTTAAAATTTTACATAAATCGTAAAAATTGGGTTAGTAAGATGGCTAGAAAAGGGATTTTACATCCGAATGGCACAGACCTCAGAATTTAGTATCAGCATAACCCCAATGTTATAAGCTAGGCCTATTCAGTATATAAATTGACCAATTATCTTTCCCAATGACTTATCTGAACCAAAAACAGATAAACTTCAAAATCGCCTTTTTTACAAAACCCTAGATCGGTTACAATCAAATTGACTGAAATAGTACATTCACACAGAAAGGTTTGCCATTAACAAAGATTGTTTCCCAAACTAATACAGTAAAACTAATGACCTAGTCTTTTCTGAGTCACAATCTGCACTTAAACACACTGTGAGAATTAGATTGACCTTAATTGACCCTTGCCTATCAGGTTCAG